ATCGGACACCACATTTCAGTTGTCCAAACATGGTGAAACCTTTGATGATCCATCATTATTTAGGAGCATTGTTGGCGCTCTTCAGTATGCGACCATTACGCGACCAGAGATCTCCTTCTCAGTTAGTCGTGTTTGCCAATACATGCAGAATCCTACATTAGATCATTGGAAAGCCGTGAAACGGATCCTTCGCTATCTCAAAGGCTCCCTTACGCATGGTATCTCCATCAGTCCATCCACTTCATCTAGTATACATGTCTATTGTGATGCAGGGTGGGCTGCTGATCCTGATGATCGTCGTTCTCATCATGGCTTTGCTGTATGTTATGGTCCTAATCTAATCAGTTGGTCCTCACGGAAGCAAAAGGTAGTAGCTCGGTCCAGCACTGAAGCTGAATATCGTGCCATTGCATTTGCCGCATCAGAAGTATCTTGGATAGCTAGTTTGATCAAGGAACTCCAATTACCTTGTCCTTGTCCTCCTGTGATATTCTGTGATAACATCAGTGCCATTTATCTCACTGCCAATCGTGTCTTTCATCAAAGGTCGAAGCATATTGAAATTGATTATCACTTTTTTCGCGAAAAGGTTGCTCGTGGCCAGCTTTGTGTTAAGTACATTCCTTCCACTGATCAAACTGCTGATGTGTTCACTAAAGCTCTAAGCTCCCCTCGTTTTGCTCATCTACGATCCAAGCTCACTGTCTCCAAACCCAACATGTGCTTGCCGGAGGGTGTTAGATGACAATAAGTCTTCTATGTAAACTCAACATCCTTTATTGGTTAGGATAGCTCTTTTCTATTTGTATTCAAACTCTATCATGTACATCATCAATATATATATATATATATATATATATTATGGCAGCCTTGGTTACCTGCAGCAGTGACCAAGTTTCTGTCCTCTTCCTTAAGTTTCAATTGTCTTAATCCACAATAACTCATTAGTTAGTTTTTCTCTCTCTATATATATGTATATCAAGATTTCATGTAGAGAAATTACTCATTAATATATATTAGTATATTATAAAATAATAAAGAATTAGATATACATATATCTTATCCTTTTTCATACTTTATTTATGAAATAACGTTATCTTTCTTGTGTCATATTTTATGGGTAATAAAATTACTCCATGTCATAGACTGAATTGGACAAATCTGCCCCTCATAATTACAAAGCTCTTCCCCAACTTGGAAACGTCCAAAGAATATATGTAAGAAAATGACATTTTTCAAAGTTTAGGAAGCTTCACATTTTTAAGTTTTTCAATTTTTAACAGCACAAGCACTCCAAGTTTTTTAATTTCCTTTTTCTTTTACTTGAGAAAACTTGAAATAATTAAAACTCTTGTGCAATATTTTGAGAACCCGTGATATACCCATTACTCATCATAATTTATCATGTTTGTACTTAAAAAAATATTGACAAGAAAGAAAAAATTTGCGAAGTTATTAGGAATATAATTTCGCCAAACATAGTATAAGAGAACTTACACAAATTTCGCTAGTTTAGGAGCTATTTATTTAGATATTATCTAAATTGTAATATTACTTATGCTATAAGATTTTGTGGCCCCCAGATAAGTCTAGATACATGTATTCGGATATTTGTAATTCATTTTAGGTGTAATTTGTTCTAGATATATTATATTCAAGTGGATTCGCATGTATCTAAGATACATATTAGCAATGTTTGCTTGCTCCCTCATCTTTCTCCGATCTTACGCCACTACTTTCCATATATCTGATATCCAGATACATGTGAATCACTTCAGATACATATATCTAGAGTGTTTCTAATGCGATTCATATGTATCTGAGATACATACCAATAAGAAACAAAATGCACAACGATAATTTTTTCCTTAGACGTTACATTTTCTCTTGATTTTTATTACATAAATTTCTCTGTTAAATTTTGGCTTTTCAATATTCTTAGGAATAGCAATGAAGCGGGCGACCTTTCAATATTCTTAGGAATAACAATGAAGTGGGCGAGTCAGATTTTGCCTTGTGGAGATTTATAAGCTAATACGGAACGAGGAAGGTTGCAGGTCTATGGAGATTTAAACAAAACAAAAGCTAAAAAAAGAATATGACTCTAGTATTCTATCATGATATAATTTTTCAAATTAAATATTATATTCATCAAAATAATATAATATAATACGATAAAATTTAATAAAATACATTATGAAATATAATATCCATCTGAATAGTGTGTTACTTCTCAAAGTACATTAAAAAAATATCATTATGTATTATAATACAGGAAAAATCTATATAATAATATAAAGTCGAATCTTGAATCGCTGATGTGGTATCCTTCAATGGCCAACATTTGTAATTATATGTTTTCTCTTCTTTTTTTTTTTAATTATTTCTGATTTTCTCCAATAAAAGTGGAGTTAAAACATCATAGTAATGTGGGTATTTTCAGTGCTGAAACCTTATTGTGAATATATATACTTGAATAGATTCCATCAATTTGGACGCTCAACGGAAAGGAAAGACTCAAGTCTCGGAGTAATTATTCGAGTGGCTAAGGCAAGTGGATTTCTAACCCTTGTTAAGCGTATGAAATTCGTGTATTTTCTTGTGTGGTGTTGATAATAATTTGAAGACTTCTTGCTTATTTGTTGGTGTTGTATTCCTTGTTGTAAATTGTGCTTTGTTATTAAAATGGTTATCTCCTCATTTTTCATTTGAGCATGTCATTTGCATTGTATCTAAGACATGGTTGTGATAAGAGTTAAGTCATAAGACGATGTACCATTTCGAGGATCGTATTGCGTGCCACGATGGATATTATATTTCGAGGGACGTATCGCGCGCCGCGACGGTTACTATCATCGAGAGTCGTGTCGTGCGCCACGACAGATGCATGGACAGATATGTCCCCCATGGGTCCCAGACTGAGAGATAGTGGGTGTGTATCGTTAGGGAAGACATGCATCACTATACTTGACATTGCATATCATGGCATTACACATTTTTATTATTGCTGAACTTGAACACGTGTTTTGCTGATCTCGTGAGTGTTTCTATGTGAAACTTGTGAATGTTGAATATTGACTTGTTATTGAGAATATGTAAACTGATAGAGTGAGGCTATTGAGTTGTGTGTTTGATAAATTGTGAACTGTTAGGCTGTAGCGTGGAGGTTCGAATAGGGTGTAAGGAGTACCCGTATTTTGTTCACTTAACTTGTGTTTAAAGGTTTGCTTGCTGGGTACCGTGTGGTTTGGTACTCACCCCTTGCTTCTATAAATTTTTTGTAGGTTATGAGCCCAAATCTTTGTGATACCTTCCATTCTCTTCGTTTCCGAGGCATCTTGTGGAGGATTGTGAGGTTGCTGCTTGTCATCTCAGCAAACTTTCCTACTCCAGTTTATGACTTTGTTTTTACTTGAAAGATAACTTCATTTTAGACTCGTATTCTTACTTCAATTCTAATATTTACATTAGAGACTTGTGCACGTGACAAACAGGTTTTGGGGATTGAATTAAGTTGAATTATTTTCGTATTAGTAAGTGTTATCAGACTTTGATTTTATTTCCGCATTTTATCAAAATTATTGAGTTAGGTTGACTTGTCTCGATGGATAAGACGAGTGTCATCACACTCATTTCTGCATCGTGAAATGATATGAGTTTTATTAGCGCATATTCGTGGGGCTTGTCCCTTGATCGGTATTGATAATTATTATTTTAATTACTTCTTTGTTGAAGAGCATTTAAATTTCTTTTCTTACACTTGTATAATATTATTATTCTCTAAGTTGCCAAGATCTCAAGTTCGTATACGTAATTTTTTTACTTTAGTTACATATATAAATCCAATATTTTATCACTTTAATTTTTAAGAGTAAACAAGTTGGCACTCACCATGGAGTTGCTTAGACCTTTCATCTTCCATTTTCTCTAGTTAAATTTTTATGCAGCACTATACAACTTGTTAGGTTGACAAATCTTCTTTTTTATTGGGTAATATGTTTTTTAAATGAAAGACTTACGATTGTAATTTCTTTCTTCTGAAATTAGTTTTGCTAATGAATTATGACGAAATGAATTTGATCACATCTCTTACGCATATATTATGAATAATATCATCCAGTTTATTCACTTGACAAAATTAATATACATTGTGTATCGGTCTTGCCTAAACTCAAGATCAAAACGTGGAACAAGAAGTAAATATAGGCTAGACCACATGTCATGTAGCGGTAATTCTGTAATTCATTGTTACCTCATTACTGATTGCACATGTAATATTCTTTAAAATGTATATTTATTAATGTTCACATGTCAGGTCAATATAATTTATGGATATGTCAATAAAAAGAAACCTATTATTAATTTAGACTAGGCACAATTTTAGAATGTCAGTTATGAAGAGAAGCTAATGAAAAAATTCCATTTTTTGTAGAATATAGTAGATATATTGGTTATGGTTGTGCATTATGTGTTCCTTTTAAGTTTTTTTTTTCTTTTAAACTTTTTATAAGACATTATGTTATGTTGATGTATTCTAATCACTGCCTTTATATGAATGGCAATTTAGTGGTGCGGTTTAATCTGTAAAATTTTAGTTTGTCTAACTTCGCTGCGTAAAATAATTTTTTTTCATTTTCAGCCTGCCCTGCTTTGCCTCGCATAAATTTTTTGATGTTTTTTCTTGATAAGTTTGATACTAAAAATAAAACTTATGAAATAAATTTGTTTTTTCATTAAGTTATATTAATTTAACAAATAATTACATAATTTTTTATTTTTTTTAGAGATCCATTGAGAAGCATGTAAGAAATCATGTAGTTTTGATTGAACTGTTTTCATTTACTATTTTATATATTTAATAATATTAAAGAAACTATCTTAACACATAATGTTCTATCATTTTTATTACATATAAATAGTTAAAATTAAATTTGAACTTGAACATGTATAAAATAATATAAACCCATTGGCATCCCTATTCTTTAAAGAGAGTGTTATTTGCTTATAAAAGGAGAGATAAACTCATAGTCTCATAGCACTTGTTAAGTCTAATCATAAGCATTTTCTCTAAAGTACTCTCCTTTCATTCTCAATACTTTAAAGACGAACAAGTTGTTGCTCGTAACATGTACTAAAACTTCAACACCTAATTGTTTTTTTTTCGTTTATAATAACAAACTAGTAACTGATTTTCTTCAATTGTTCTCGTTTTAAATTTTCACTTGTTTTTGTTTGTTGTAGGACGAAAATATTTTTGTTGATTTTTCTAGTACTGCTTTATTGTACAAGTCATGTTGTTGGCGCTAAAGATGATTTTTATGTTAATATAACAATTCTTGAAAGTGCAACTGCCCAAGGCGCGGGTATGTTAATACATAAATATATAATCTTAATTTCTTCAAAGAATATTAATCAGATATGGATTTGTTTTTGTGCACAGTATGTCTTGATGGAAGTCCACCAGCCTATCATCTTCATAGAGGACATGGTACTGGACTTGGCAGCTGGATTATCCACTTGGATGTTAGTTACTGCGACTGCTTAATTTATGAATTTTTATATCTGACACAAATTATTCAGCTTGGAGAAATAATTCATTCATATTTATAGGGAGGCGGTTGGTGTGACAGTATCACAGATTGCCTAAATCGTTCGACGACGTACTTAGGTTCTACCAAATATATGAGAAAAAAGGGTTTTTTTGACGGGATACTCCATAATACTTCCATAAGAAATCCAGGTGATCAATATAATGCATATCCTGTTATTGTTTGTGCGCGTGTTTGAAGTTTTAACTCTAATACATTGTTTGGTAGAGTTTCACAATTGGAACAGAGTGAGGGTAAAATATTGTGACGGTTCATCATTTACGGGTGATGTTGAACAAGTTGACACCGTAAGAAAATTAAATACTAGTATTACGTACGTGTATATATATATATATATATGCATCTCTCATAGTCAACTAATCAAATGTGAAGCATTATTATTAGGAGAACAAATTATATTTTAGAGGGGCAAGAATATTTAAGGCTATTATGGAAGATTTGTGGAGCAAAGGATTGGAAAGTGCTGAAAATGTGAGAATATACTGTACTTTTAGTGCTTTACGAAAAAAAAATTGGAGTAGTATCTTGTTTGCTAAATCTCTACTAATATAATGACAGGCAATTCCATCGGAATATCAGCAGGTGGTTTGGCAACAATCTTAAATTGCAATAAGTTTAAATGCCTTCTTCCAGAAAATGCCAAAGTTAAGTGTGTTGCGGATGCTGGCTTCTTCATCAATGGGTTAGTCCTTCTAAAGAAGATTAATGATACACAATATCTTAACTTTATTAGCGTCTAATTCACTATTTATGCAGAAAGACAATAAATGGTACTTCATATATCCAAGAGATGTATCATAAAATTGTTAACCTACACGTGAGTTATATCTTCTCAATTAAAGTAATTTTGGTTAAGAATAAGAGCTATAAGTTGAATCTTTTCCTCTTCTGTTTTAAGGGATCGGCTAAGAATTTACCATCAGCCTGCACATCTGTAATGGAGCCAAGTTTAGTAAGCTTCGAAAACAAAAACAATTACTTTAATTAATTATAGTATGACATTACGGTTACTAATTGATGATATATGGTGCGGTGTTTTTTTCCTCAAAATATGGTTTCATACGTTCAAACTCCACTTTTCATAATCAACTCAATTTATGATTCTTGGCAGGTGAAAAGAGACAAATGCTACTATTTCTCTGAATTTTATTTACTACACATAATTCTGATTATTCAAACACACAGATGAAAAACATTTTGGTTCCTCCACACGTTGATCCCCAACATGTTTGGGAGGATTGCTTGAACAATACAAATACATGCACGTCTAGCCAACATATAGCTATTCAAGGTTATAGTAATTAAATAATGTATACAACGTTACACATCTCTTCTTTGAAATTGAATTTATATGTTTTTTTTAATGTGTATAGCCTTTGGAGTTGAGTTCTTGAAGACATTTGAGGGACTTCCCCCTTGTTTTACGAGGGGTTATTTCCTCACGTCTTGCTATTCTCATGGGGGAATACTTGCACCACCATACTGGTTCAGTTCTACCTCTCCTAGATTACTTAATAAGGTAATTAATTTGTTTTATCCATATAAAGTTACATTTTTTTTTATCATAACAAATTTTAATTTCTTTGTTATGTTAATTTATGTAGACAATTGGTGAAGCCGTTGCGGATTGGTACTTTGAGAGAACAAGGTTTCAATGTATAGATCCGTACCCTTGTGTTAAAGTTTGCAAAGACTTAAATAATCACTGAGATGTTGGGAGCCCTTTTCTTTATTAAGTGTTACACTTTGAGTCATATTACATCTATCTTACTACTGTATAAGTTTCTGATTGTTAAGTTTTTATATAAAATTCGCACATAACTTAATTTCATGCGCATCCTTGGTGAATTATTATTACTTGTGAATAAATAAATTAAATGGTAATTTTGATTATACTGAAAATTACTTGGTATTTTTGTAAAAATACAAACTGAACTGGGCAAGAATTTTTTCGGGAATATTTTTGTTAGTAAAGCATCATAAAACAACAGCAAATAGTAAATTACATGGCATTGGAAAATCAAACAAGTTGAGAAATAGGAATGAAGAAAGCTTGGAGAATTGTTAATAATGTTACCTCAAAGCATGAAAAATGCAATCTACGAGGTAGGAACAATCAAGACATCCAACAAGAGAATAATGATAAATGTAATCAGACAATTACTGTAGCACAAACAGTTTCTCCTTTGAAAGTTTTACACGACCTTGTTTAGTTGAAAGAATTCCTCAACCTCAAAGCAACCGCAACAATCTCAAAAAGTGTAGGAATAGATTTTATGAGACCTACAAAAAGTGTAGGAATAGATTTTGATGATAAACTTCTATGGAATCATGTTAAAGTTATTTTGATGGCTCCAAATGGGGGGTGGGAATAGGACATGGTCTTGTAACTATTGTAATAAAATAGTTACGGGATCATATAATGGGGTGAAAGCACATCTTTTGAGATTATCGGGTCATGGTGTTCAAATATGTAAAGAAAATAGTGGTGATATATATGTGATTTTGAAGATGGAGCATGAACAAGCGGAAAGAAAACGAATCAATGTTCAAGTTGATGCAAGAAAAAAAGATGATTATATATCACTTCCGGAGGGGATTGATCTAATTCAACAAAAAAAATGAAAGAGTTCGAGTAGTGGAGCTATCAGAAAATCATTCGGCATCTATGAGAGGAATATGACCGACAAATTAGCCGCTATGATGTTCTACGCATCAAGTTTATCATTCAACTTTGCCAACTCTCCTTATTTTAAAAAATATTCTAAGTTTCTAGCCGAAAATTCCATTCCCGGTTATATTCCCCCATCATATAATAGATTGAGGTCAACTCTTTTAGCTCAAGAAAAAACAAATATTGATAGAAAGTTGCAACCAATAAAAGGTACATGGAAAAAGAAAGGATTGTCGATTTGTTCGGATGAATGGTCCGATACTAAAAGACGACCTTTGATCAATATAATGGCATCATCTAGTGGAGGCCTAATATTTTTGAATTCAATCAATTCTAATGGAATCGTAAAAGATGATGAATATATTGCTAACTTATTTATTGAAGCAATAGAAAATGTAGGTTCAAACAATGTTGTTCGAAGTAATTTTATGCTGAGTGATACAACTTGTTAACTTTGGCAAATCTTTCCTTTTTATGGGATTTTATAATTTTGAAAAAATGTAAATAAAGACTTAATATCGGAATTTCTTTCTTCTTAATCCTTTTTTTTTTTTTTGCTTATGAAATGAATTTGTTACATATATTACGAGTATATCATGTAGCTAGCTTGTTCAATTCGCTTGGAAAAATTAATACACATTGATTGTCGATCGATCTCGCCTAAATCCAGGATCAAAACGTGACATATTATGTATGAGCAAGAATTTAAATATTTTATTTGAAATCTTAAAACAATGAATAAAATATTCCGTGACTATATCCTTTATTACTAGCCTATTTAAGGCAATAAATTAGAAAATCAATTAGATTACAAAAGATGTAAACTTATTTTCAC